AAAAGATATGATAATACGTAGCCATAATTGCGTTTTTCATATTTTCAACACTATCTGTGTTTTTTTGGATGCTCAAACCATAATATTTAGTGAGTTGCTTAATTTTTTTCTCCGTTAACTTGTTTCTTCCGCCAAGTTTTTTTTTTTCTTACGTTTTGGAGTCTGTTGTATATTCTCTTTTCAACGTGGCCGATACACTCACTTTCGACAACAGTCAACTCGTCACCATAAGGTTTTAAATCTAGAATGGCTTTGAAAGTTTTGGAGTCCCCATCACCGATGTAATTATTATATTTCACGCCGAAGTTCTCTTCCGATCTGGCAAACATTTCTTTCATCGAATCGACTTCCATCTTTCCCGCCGAGCCATCGTGATTCTTCGTACATTCTTCTTCGTGATCTTGTAACCATGTATGATATTCTACAGTATGCATTTTCTTTTTGCAGGTCATACAAGCGTGGCAATAACTGCTTTTAACGACTAAATCAATTACTTTGCCGGTGTAGTAACCGATCAGCGTTGTGATGCCAAACAGTGATTTGGACCCGCGTTTTTTCCATGTCCCGTCGCCAGAGACTTTGAGATGTTTTTCAGTTCATCCATGCTCAACGTTTTTTGTTATTTCTTCTTGAACAGCTTTTTGAGATAAAATCTTGAACGACGACTTGGCAGCTTCATGAATATATTCGACGATTTTAGTGTAACTGCTTTGACTCAATCCAGTACACATGTCCATGAGATTACAAAATATATTTATTCCTTCTCTTGCGATGCCCAAAAGTCTCATGATGAGTACAAATCTTCGATTTATTTCGTAGCCAGTATGAATAAGAGGTCCTGAATTTATTTCTGTATGACCGCAGCGACACGTAACAACAATTTAAAATCCTAGTCCTCTCTGTCCTGACTCTCCAAAATGTACGCTTTGCTTGCATTTATAACAAATTAAAATTTGCGACAGAGCAGTAAAAACAGTCACAAATTCAATAATTTTGTATATGTGTGAAGGACTCGAACGAATATCCTCACTACTGGCAGTTTGCAGTTTTTTTGCACTTGCACTCAACACATCGTCACTTGCACTCGACGCGAAATGCTTCCCGCTTTCGTCTGTAAATTGATTTCCCTGATAATGTCTTTTCTTTGAACGACTTCGAGCGACATTATCTTTCGTTCCTTTGGGATAATTAGGCATTTTCGAAACGAAAATGCGACCGCACACGTGAAACTTTTGGGCTACACTGACTCAGCTGCTCGAGAAACGTTCGTTCGCATACCTATAGAGTTACATGCTATATACACATATAGCATCTAACTGTACAGGTACGTATACGGTACAAAAGGTTCGTACGAAGGAATTTTTACCCCGTACAAGGTTGTCAAGTCGATTTCGGCACTTGGCAACGCCGCCTCTGCTCGCTCGGCCCAAGCGCTTCAGGTACGATCCCGGTGTTCCACGAGCGCTCTCAACTATGGGTTATATCTCCGTAAATATGTCATATTTCGACTTGCTACTTTGCCAGAATACTCTCAAGGGATGATATTTTCGAAATATGTAAAAAAAATTCGATTTTTTTAAAGGTTCTAGTAAATTACTAGAATACGCAAGTTACACTTACGCAGGTTACGCCGCATGTGACGGCACCCTAACAGCACAAACGTCGATATGTCGACTGTAAGTTGACTTTGCTAAGTCAGGCCTTTAGTGTTGACTGTAAGTCGACTTTGTACATACGTCTTTCAAATATCGACTTTAGGACATCTAGTGCGATTTACGCTCACAATAGGCCTGTTCTTTTTAGCTAAACTTTTGCACCAATTCATCTTTCTTCCCTTTCTTTCCTCCTGGAGAGAAAAGGAAGAAAGATGAAATGGTGCAAAAGTTCAGCCAAAAAGAACAGGTCTAATAGCTGCTTTTTCCATTTACACCAATTCTCAGATAATTCTCACTTGTAACATCATAACTCAGTTGAATGCGCGTTCCTTTTGCATTCTGATAAGTGAGGGTGCTTTTCACCTACGACACAAATTGTGACACAAGGGGATCGATTCTGTATCTTGAAATGAAATAAAAATTACAAAAGTGAGCGAATTTACTAGACTACTGATAATTTCATTGGTCAACGTCTAGTAAATTTGCTCACTTTTGTAATTTTCACTTTGTTTCATGATACAGAGGGTGCTTTCCAATTGCAATATCCCTAGACACTTTCGTGCACACGGCAACACAAGTTGCGTTCCAATTGTCCGTCCCGTCTAACAACACTGCACTACAAATCCGTACCAGAGAGAAACCTGAGAGAGGCCATGGCGGTCTTTTTCACGTGATAGGCGAAAGCCACCGTACGCTAGCGGCACCAACATCATTTTTATAAAATGATGTGAACTACGTATCGCATTAT